TCTTCTTCTTCTTCTTCTTCTTCGATTCGATCTTCCAGTCTGCGACAGGATCGACGAAAAAGCGGATATTTGGACTTAAAATCGCGAACGTGCGACTGTGGTGCGATGCGCGGCGAGTTTACAGGGGGTTGATGGGCAGGGTTCTACTCGCGAGGAATACGTGTTTCACAGATGCGCAGTCTAGCTGCTCGCTGCCGGCGCGGATCCGAGTTCTGCTTTATCGAGGGATTCCGGGGGTAAGTTGGGCCGATGATCGTGAGGGTGTGTATCGGGCAAGAAATATTCGCTAGATTAAAGGACTCCTTGCTGTTTCGATTCTTTTCCTTTTTCCTTCCTCCTCAATCGCTTTGAACTTTTACTCGGCTCGAAATTGCCTTTCCAATGGCGCGAATAGCGATTACTTTTTTCCCCTTTTCTTTGCTTTTCCTCTGTTTGTCAGAAGCTTTCCGACAGCTTCTCTGCGATGAAATTTAATTTACCTGTGCACGGGGGACGCGTTTTATTTTTTTTTTCCTATTGATTTTGCGTTATCGATACGCGAAAGTCGCGAAAGTAGTTAGACACGTTTTACCTTCTCTTATTCTAGTTGCAATTCCTATCTCCCCGGATGAAGAAATGAAAGATATCTTTAGACGACTCAGTTCGTCGTACATTCCTGCTTGTAAAAATCACGAGTCGACGAAACGCAAGGAAATCGATTTAGATACCTCTTCGTTCGTGAAAGAGGCTTCAGTTTGTAACTTATTCGCCGTCCCATTGTTCCCTCTCGGATTGCACAAGCTCTCGGACTAATTACCGTGAAATTTCCCGCATTCCGCTTTTAATGTGAATCCAAAATCGACAAGGTTGCCAAATTGCGCGCTCGAAACTCTGCCAGCCAGAGATACAATTACGGGCAATTTCGAAACAACCGATCCTTTGGTAGACAGATAGAGATCAGTCGTTCGGAGGAACGAGTTTGCGCAATCGGAAAAGCTGTTCCCTCGATAACGGGTGAGATAAAGTAGCGCTTTCTCTCGATAACGTTCCTCTCGAGCAAAGGAATTTCAAACGATACTTTGAACGAACTGTTGAGAACAATTCCCGGCGAGAATTCTGGCTTTTCTTAGTTTCACGACCAATCGACGACTTTTAAGGAGATCGAATCGTTGTTTCGAATTTGTTTCGAACATGAACATGATTAATTATCAGCCATCGATTTCATTCGTCGAAATTCGACAAATAGAAACCTGTCGGAGACTTACTTCGTGCCCGCCGAATTCGATAAACCTCCGCTCGCAGCGTGCATATTCAAAACGTGGGAAAATGTCGAAACTTCAGCCGGGCTGGGGCAATAACCGGCGCGATTCGTAAAACGCTGGAGACGGACCGATCCCAGGGAATCGGCAATCTGGTGCGGTCGACCACGGTATACCGTAACGTTCTCTATGTTTGTGCATCAGATCCCGTTGGCATGGCGTGGTGCATTCGGCCGGAGTTATTGTTGTGTCAAACGATGCGAGTGCACCACGTATCGTTACGACTAGCC